TGACTTGCCCAAGGACACCCAGTGGGTTTCATGGCTGAGCTGGGAATCGAACCCGGGCCTTCAGAGTCCTAGTCCAATGCTCAAGCCATTACACCATGCTGACTTCTCCATCAAATATCGCATCCCATAAAGAGAAATCTGACTTTTAACATTTCTTTTGTTCGCAACATGGAAGTGGACTTGTGGATAATCAGAAAGGCAGTTTCTTTGGCATTGATGGAAACCCCTTCTATACATGCTCAGGAATGCTCTTGTGCTCATCGTTCCGTTGTTTGTTCCATTGTTGTTGGACTGTGTTGGTTGAAAACAGAACCATGGACTTTCCATCTCCTCCAGCAGCTCGATAAAATTTGCTTTAGCCCTACACTTAGGAGGACTGTGCTGGCCTGCAACTGGGAAGCCACAATGCCAGGATAGTGGGCTATACATTAACTGCATTTAAATTTATAGCATTTATAGGCTGTTGCCACAGGGCAGAAATAAAGCATTTTGACACTGCTTTAACTTCATGGATAAGAGTTATGAAATTCTGTGATTTGCAGTTTTGTGGGGCATCAAAGCTCTCTGCCAGGGAAGGCTAAATATCTAAATATCTCTTCTCAGTGAACCTCCCCCACTCACACTTTAGTGTTTTAAAGGGATACAGGCAAACGCCACAACCTGCCTTTGCCAAAAGGCAGATGTTTGGGAAGCTAGTGACACCCCAATGCAAATTTTAAGAAAGGGAAGCTCTCTTTCCACCAGCAAGTTAAAACCTTTTTCAAATTTATTTAGGCATGCCTTTCATTGATTTTTAATCATATGGCAGAATAGTCTTGACAGTGATATGTGATATGCTGTGTTTTTATCTTGTATGATTTTAATTGTGTTTTAATAGTGTGTGCTTATGTGCCTTCAATTCTCCTGTCAACCTATAGTGATTCCATGAATTTAATTAGTTTTTTTAAGGTAAGGGATACTCAGAGGTGGTTTTGCTAGTTCTTTCTTCTGAAATATAACCTACACTACCTGACATTCATTGGCAGTCTCCCATCCAAGTACTAACCAGGGCTGATCCTGCTTAGCTTCCAAAATCAGATGGGATCTGGTGCCTTGTTTAGACCAACATTTTTATAGTATTGCTGTTTAATTGTTTTTTTTTAATGTAATGTAACATTTGAACCAACTTTTATTTTAAATTATTGTAAACAGCCTTGGGTCCCTTGGCAAGAGAAACATTGGACATAAACCAAATAAACAGATAAATAAATTTATTATGACAACTATACTGCAGCAGTAATGTGAACTGAGCACATGCAAAATGCCTTTCTGTCACCAATCTGGCCAAATCATGATTCCTAGGGTTCTTTAGGGGAATTATCACCTGTTAAATGGCTATGTAAACTATCCATCTGGTCAAAATTTCATGATGGAGACTAGCTTTCCTCAAGCAGCTCATGCCTCAGAAGGCAGTATCAGGATTCAAGATGACCTTAATAGATAGAGAGATAGATCACAATAACATGGATTTCTTTTTCATGGTCTCTGTAACTCACACAAATAGGTTATCTCTGCCTGTGCAGTACATTGTTCTGAATAATGCACTCTGCAGACATAGATAACCTCATTTGCGTGAGTTTCCAGATGATCACTTGAAGAACTACAGTTACAGGTAAGCAACCTGTCCTTCCACAGGGATGCCACAACTAAGGAGCTCCAATTGGGTGGGAAAAATTGGATGCACAGACAGAAGATGGGTGATACCTGTCTTGACAGCAGTAAATCTGAAACGGATCTGGGCACCTTTGTAGACCAGAAGCTTAATATGAGTTGGTAGCTTAATCAGCTAGCAAAAAATGGACGACTGTTCTAAGCCGAGTCAACACTAGTGTAATGTCCAGAATATGGGACTTAATGGTTGTTGTATTCCTTCAAGTCCTTTCCAACCCATAGCAACCCAAAGGCAAACCCGTCACAAGGCTTTCCTGGTAAGATTTGTTCAGGGGGTGTATGCCTTTGCCTTCTTCTGAGCTGAGAGAGTATGGCTTGCCCAAGATCATGCAGTGGGTTTCCATGACAAGTATGGATCTGAACCCTGGTCTCCAGAGCTGTAATCTAACACACAAACCACTACATCACACTGGCTCAGGGACATGATGCTAACACTTTATTCTTCTTTGGTCAGACCTCTCCCAGAATGTGACATCCAGGTTGGGGCATTACAGTTTAAGAACAATATGGAGAAACTGGAATGGGAGGAAAGCTAACCAAGGGGCCTGTCACACTACACAATTATATGATTCTATCTAAATGCCACAATCCATTCTATGGGATCCTGGGATTTGCAGTTTAGGGAGGATCATTTAGAATTCCAGCACCAGCAATCATAATTAAAACTGAACTTGTCCCCTCATCTCAATACCCACACGTTTTGCATTTCTATGACTATTCTCACACACAGCCTGCCTGGACCTTCCACTCCCTGCATCTGAGGAAGTAGAACAAGACTACAAAAACTCATGCTACCAGCTTCTTTCTTTCAGTTAGTCTCAAAGGTGCTAAATGATCCCTTTGCACACTGAATTTCCACACTAACATGGCCATGTCTTTGAATTTGGATGTGAAGTCCAGGATATGTTCTGTGCTGCTGCTTCTTTTAATCTACATGAAAAATCATAGCTCTTAGTGTCAAGTCAAACTGGACAGTGCTTCAAGGAGAATGGGGGTAAGGCAACTGTGGCCCTCCTGATTTGTCAGGCCTATAATTCCCACATTGTCACTGCTGAAGCCGATGCAGATCTACCCCCACACCATAGAAGAACATCTTGGCCACCTTACTGTCCACACCTTTGTCATCCCATCAGTAGTGAGGACTAGAAACTTGTCATTTTAAAAAGGCACCAGTTGCTTTCTGCTGTGACAGGGTCCAAATCTGCAAAGAGCTCCATTAGGTGTGCCCTACAGAGGATTAGAATCACCCAAGCCATTGTATTCCCCATCACCATGTATAGATGTGAAAGTTGGGCAATGAAGAAAGAAGATAAGATAGGAAGAAAATCAACTCATGTGAGATGTGGTGTTGGAGAAGAGTGCTGACGATACAGTGGATGGCCAAAAAAAGACAAACAAATGGGTCCTAGAACAGATCAAGCCAGAACTCTCCCTGGAAGCCAAGACGATCAAACTGAGGACCTTATCACACGGGGTCTAAAGCAGACAGAACCCCGTCCCATCCCCGTCCCATTGCAGGTTTTTTTTCCGTGTGTTCACATGACGTCGCACAAAACCCCATCCCATCCCCGTCCCATCCCCGTCCCATTGCGGTTCCTTTTCCCGTGTGTTCACACTACGTCGCAGAGAACCCCGTCCCATCCCCGTCCCAATGCGGCATCATCCCCGTTCTTTTGAATGCTGGTTTCTTGGGGAATTACATTTGCGCGACCAGAATGATACCGGAATGATGCTGCTTTCGTTCATTGCACAATGATGCTAGTTGCATCTGATAACCATTTCCGTCTTGTGGGGTCTATACCGGTATAGTTCTGGATTGATTCCATACCGCTTTCTTGCCGCTTTGAGACCCGCGTGTGATAACGTCCTGAGACTGTTGTACTTTGGCCACATCATGAGAAGGCAGGACTCATTCAAAAAGACAATAATGCTAGGAAAGATAGAGGGTAGTAGAAAGAGAGAAGGACTGCATGCTAGATGGATGGACTGTATTAAAGAGGTCATGGTATCAGTTTGCAAGACCTAAGCAGAGCAGAGGAGGACAGGGGTCTTGGAGATGTCTCCTCCATAGGTTCCCCATGAGTCAAGCTTGTCTCAAAGGCAGCTAACAGCAACAACAAAAAAAGGATGTGGAGGCGGAAATAATGAAGCAGTGCATGACATTTTGCACACCGTCTCCAAGTGCCTGGTCTGGAGCCCCCATTTTGCAGCCGTTTTCTGCTGCTGTCCATTTTCTCCATCTTAGTAGCTCTTGCTTCTCCGTAGGCCCAGCCTGGCTCCTCTCCCATGCTACTGTTCCCTGCCCTGGGTTATAACAAAAGAGTGGACCCAGGGAATGACCCGAAAGCATCCTTGTGACACAAACAAAAGCGGGTGTTAATCTCTAAACCCCGCCAAGACTGCAATCCCCCCTCTCCCTTTAATCCTACCCCTGGGCTTATCCGGCCTGGAGCACCTGTCCCCATTCTCCATCCATCCCTCCCTCGGTCGGTCGGTCAACAATAGCAGCTGAGAATCGGCTCCAGTCTGAGCGGCCTTGAGAGGTGTGAAGTTCCAGGGGTAGCAGAGCTAATTCCATCTCTCTCTTTTTCTCTTTTGCTCTCAGTCTCGGACTGCCTTCTCTCTCTGACTCCCCTCGCAAAACCCTGGTCCCCTTAAACAACCCCCTAGTCTGCCCAAGGGCAAAGAAGGTGAGGATGGTGGTTTGGGTTGGGTTCGTGGAGGGCAGGGAATGACATTTAGGCCCCATTCATGCTACAAAAATAATCTGGGATGAATCCGGGTTGAATCCTTGTTGTTCACACATGTCCCAAATGCACTCGATGTGGGGAAAATCCCACTTAACCCAGGATATCCAATACCATTTTCCCCCCTGACTTTTCCTGAAAGATCCACATCGATCTGCATTGTAGGCAGTGTGAATAAGCTTGCGAGTTGATTTGGATCACTCTGTATCATTCAAAGAAAGGGAGGCGGCTCCATTTTATCCCAAAACAATGGCATGTGTGAGTAGCACAGGGGTTACAATGACTTGAAGATATTCACGAATCCAGAGCAAAATGGGAGCAACAAACCCAATATGCATCTCCTCGGGACAAAAAAATCAGTGTGAATTCCCCTTTAGATCCCCAGCAGAAGCTGAGTTGAGTCATGCCTCAATGGAACTGCTTTGTTGGAAATATTCATTTTCTTTTAAAAACTACAACTCCCAGAACAACCCAGCCACCATTGCTATGGCTATGCCAGCTACGGGATTCTGGGAGTTGTGATCCAAAAAAGGAACTGCTCCCAACAGTGTTTGGAAGGCATCTGATCTCACACAGGAGAGATGCCTTTACCCCCCACGCTTCATGGACACAGAAGGTTTTTTTGCAACAGGAAAGAGTAGGGTGA